TTGTAGTAGTCTGGCAACTCTGTATTTTGTCGAGAGGAACTTGAAATCCCTGCTTTGTCAGTGGCTCGGTAGGGGCCTCCAGCACTACTAAGGGCTGACTAATAGGACATTGGGCTAATTCAGAGGAGTTAATTTCTACTCTAGAAAAGGAGATACCCCCCCACAAAAGTTCTCTGAAGTTTTCAATCTATTAATTAGGTGGGTTTGCTTGCCAGAAGGTAAAGCTCCAAATGATTCAATTAGATTTGTTTCCATTGGTTTGAAGTAAAATCCCATAGCTGCCTTAGTAGTCTCATCATTTGGGCCCTTTATCTGATGATTAATAGAGAATGAGGAAGGAAAAGTCACTTGCTGAGAAGATGAAACAAGATCAATGAGCATAGGCCGTTCACAAGACTTTTTATATTTATTTATTATTTATTTATTAAATCGATTTTTATCCCACCCTCCCTGCCACAGGGTCCCAGTCTTTGCCCAGATAAAGAAGACTTACTAGGAATTAAAGGGACTACCTGTCTGTGGCTACAGTTTCTGTTTCCCTTTCTTTACATCTCTTCAACCACAGAGGGAAAGAAAGGAGACATCGTTGTGCCCTTTAAGTGAATTAGTATTTCCTATCATTTCTGCCCCTTGACCCCCTCACTCTGCCTTTTGACTCCATCAGCTCTGTCTCTGGAGACAGGGGCTATACCCTTGATGGCACTGGTCCCGTTGCTGAGTAACTGGGAGGGGCTTGCCCCTTTCCAGATATGTGCCTTTCTGGATTTGGTTCTGTCCTTGGTGGCTCCCAACAGCTGCTTCAGGAGAACCTGAATATCACTCCATGTTCCCTGTTCTTACCTTCTCCGAGTCTCGATGCATTCAGGCACTCTATCTCCAGTTCCAAGGGTAAGTTGCATTCCATGCAAGCACACTGCATAAAGTCTTTGAAGACGGAAGTATCGGCACCAGCACTTCTTTGAAACATGTCCAGGGCTAAGGAGACCTTCTCTCTGTGGTCAGCAACCCCTTCGAGCTGACTGAAGTCCGCCTGTGGGAGGAGCTGCTTGGCTTTCTTCAGAACCCACTCAGGACTGAGGAATTCCACCAACTGTGGCCAAGCATTGTGGACTGCCTTCTGGACGGATTCCTCATCCATTTGGGGTGGGGGTTGGGAAGGATGTGTGGGACTGGAGAAGAAGCTAAATGACTGCAAGGTCCACGGATCAGGACTGGAATGAATTTTTGTCCATTTGCCCTGTTCAGACTTAAGGCAAACACGAGGTCTCTGTCTTTGGAACAACTCTTCCGTCACATTGTCAAAACTGAGATTTAGAAGTTTGACAAGCGTTTGTGCTCATCGACTTAACACTATCCTGAGACAACACATACTCTCTTCAGCTGTGACTCATTTAGACTTCCACAGGTAAGCCGAGTGGGTTTGCAACCCTTAAAAAGGAGAGAAAAAGGAACAAAAAATGTAAACAGGTTGAAAAGGTCTGACCAGGCCAAAGGAACACTGCAAATGTAAAAGGAGCATGTTACTATCCGATGAAGCAAGCACTGACTCACAGAAGCTTATACCCCCAAATCTTGCAGGTCTCTAAGGTGTTACTGGACTGGAATCTAGCTCACGTTACATTCTGGGCATTAAATGCAACCATGTGAAAGCCAAAATTCAGAAACCTCCTGAAACAGGCAGAGGAGGAGCAGGGGAAGGTAGAGCTGTCTTTCTCCACCCGTTGCTTACCTCTGCTGATCTTCCTGAGCTGCTAATGGTCCCTATTGCTCATCTTCCCAACCCCAACCCCTAGAAAATACTAACAAAACGAGAGAGGCATAAATCAAGAAATGGATGGAGAAAAGGTGCCAGAAGTTCTACACTCCCCCCAACTTTCTCTGCCTTCCTCTGAGAGAGACTTCACAGTTGCAATTACTTTTTGCACACTAGGGGTAATGTGCAGCCAAGCTCTGCCCATCCATTCACCCAGAAAGAGTGATGGGATTTCAAGAGATGTGGCTCCATATGCAGCACAGTCACCCATCCCAGCTCCCACACAGATAATTTCTAGCATTATCTGGGGGATCCGTGCTGACATCTGATCACACACAGGCTTATTTCACTGGATCATTCTTCCTCAATGTGAAAGATCACACTAACAGTGTGGGCGATTTCTCACTAGAGCTGCCTCGCAGCGCAGCACTGTTTGCCCCAACACAAACATGTCAATTTCACACCCGAGGCTGTGGGGCTGCATTTGACTCGGGGCTTCGCCCGATTTCCTCCGCAGTTTCATGATCCTCAAAAACCAGGATCACGAAACTGCGGAGGAAATCGGG